TCTATATATACTATCTAACTAAGGGCTACGTGGCGACGTTCTATAGGACCTCCAATATGTGTTGACTTTGTAGGACACATGCCTTGACTTACAAGGCAAGTTTTTCTACGTGTGGGCCACATAGTTAGCTTGATCTTCAAGCTATCAACATGTGTGGCACATGGCCAACTTGTTGACCACGTTTCTAATCCAAAAAGTCAATTAAAGACACCTATGAAGTCAAAGCAGCATCTAGGAAGTTTCTAGGAAGCTTCTATATTAAATATTATAGAATTAACTTACTTTTATCTACTTTTACTTACTTCTACCTATTTCTATATGTAATTATTAGCTTACATGATTATGGCCGTGACACCTTGATATATAATACAAGTTGTAGTATGAAGCAATGTAATATACTTCAGCATAATCAAAAATAAGTTGATACATTTCTTTTGTTTGATTCTATAAATTTAAAAATTTTCTTTCAATACATCCTAAGAATTTGAATAAAATTGCAACAAAGGAATAGTATGTTATCTATTATCAATTTTAATAATAGGATGCTAAATAATTTAGATTTAGTTCAAATAAGACAGTTCTATTATACTTAAAGCTTCAAATTTTTCACAATATATTCTACATAATCTGCTTAGTAAATTCTAAGATAACCATTTAATTACTATTATTTTTTTAAATGTTGAAAAAATAATTTTATTTTCAAGAAAGATGCTTAAAATTTAAAAATAAATAAAATAAAATAAGATCAACACATATATTTAATTCAAACCAAAACAACATTCACTAAAATCTCATATTTCATTCTATTTTTCAATAACCAATACTCTATTTAAATGCTACAAATAGTGTATGATATTAAGTGGAATAGATAGCATTCTTTAGCAAGAGTATTATCAAAAAAAGATTTCAAAATATGTTCTAATGGTTTAAGATCTCCACATTGATTTTGATATAAATTTCTACATGTTCAAGAATATATATGACTTATCAATTAGAAGACTTCACATATTTATAAATTGTGTTGGTTGAAGTAGTAGTAACAATTGTATAATAATTTATATAGAAGAAAGTCCTTGGGATAGGGCATTGTTCTAAGAGATTTGTGTATTTATTTCTCCAAAGAAATCTTTGATCTTTTTATTTTATATAAGCTCCTCAACCATAAAGGATTTGACTAGAAACATAGTTTTAAGAGAAAATAGATAACTTTTGTAGGTTGTAAAATATCATAAGGATCTAAGAACATATATATTTTTTATGGGCTTTAATTTAAATTTTTTTGTAAGATCATAATTTTTTTGTATGTTGCATCAATTGCAATTGATGTTTGTATTTACAACGTTTTTTTATACAATGGCCGTAAAATATTAACTCATACTTGTGAGCCTAAAGAATGTTTAGTATAGTCCACCAAAATAATTTGTATTTAGATTTAAGACACCTTGTGAACATTAAGTCCATCTTAGAATCATAGAAAGTTAAATTATTTTAAGAAGAAATAATTTTTATAGATAAAATTAATATAATTATATTCAACATTTAAAAAAACGTGAATTTTCACAATTTTTCTTCCACACTATGAACTCCATCACAATACGTGATGTGCCATCCACATATTGAAAACATATTATGTGCAACTTGAAAGTATAAGTATCAAAGAATAAAGGCTCATACTTTATTGTATTGTTGAATCCAAAGAATTATCTTGTCACTTGCAGACAATATACTTGTTCAAAAGTGTGTAACGAGACAATGTAGCCATGTTGTAGGAAAACAAGTCCAACACAACAAATTACGTGATGAGAGACATAGCAATGGATTATAAAAATGGCAACAAACTTCTTGCTTAATCAACTTTAGAAATGTGGCGATTTCTTTGTCAAGCTCAATATGCCATATTGGCCCTCTTACTTGTTCAAATTTATGCGTAAAAGAATCATAATTTCATTTATTGTTGTCTTTCTAGCATATAATTGATCTTTGTAACGTAAATATTCATAAGCTTAGAAAATTATAAAAAAAATAATGATCAAGGATTTGTAGCAAAAATCACATGCACAATACATTTTGTGGCCAATAATATAATTTCCTTGGTTTATTTGATTAACTCTTTTATCTCTTGCAACTCTACCTTACTAGTTGTAGCGCACATTTCTATCTTCTCTATATTCTTTTTTTGAATCATCTCTAACAATGCTTTCATAATGGACCTGAAGTATGGCTTGTTTGTAGTCTTTTCCTGCTTCTTCTTCTTCTTCTTCTTCTTCTTCTTTATTGAGATGTTGTGAAGATCTTTCTTCTATTACTTCTAAAATAATATTTCCAATGATAGTTTTGTGGACTTTAGTCTATTGTAGAAGTATTTTTTGCACTTCCTATTGAAGAAAATGAATACTTAATTATTGTTGCAAATAAATCTGATCTCTAGATCTAGATAGATCTTAGCACGCTACACTTCTTTTTTTTGCAAAAATTGAATGTTTGGATTTTGATTGAAAATAGAGAACAACAATGGGTACAAAAATAAGCAACCACAATATCTTGTATTAGTATCTTAATCAATATGGCAAGTGAAGAATCCATTATTGGATTCCAATAACTTGGTTCTTGATAAAACTCCAATCCAACCACTTTGTGTTTCTCAAGTTCTTAGATTTTTTTTCAATAGGCAATCAAAATGCATTTTTATCTCTTTATCTTATATGTAAGTTATTTTATATAATAGATATATATTTATTATTTTTAAAGCTTTAATTTTAGAAATATTATAGAATTTTAAATATATACATCATTGAAATATTAATCTACCTAAAATGATTTGATAATATTTATTCTCTCAGGAATATTTTCTAAGTTCATAATTAAATAATTTGCAAGTGATATAATTTTTATTAAAAAAAAATTATTAGATAATATTTTTGTAGCTTATTTTCTTCTTAATTCAAGTAATTATCTTACATTCTATTCTCATGCATACCATTCTACCATTTTTTGAAATTTTGTATAATTTAATGATAAAATTTCTATAAAAATTGGCTTAACATGTCAATATACGTAATTTTAGCAAGTAATATTGTATTTATATTTTTTTATTACTATTAAAATATTTTTAGTGTTTCTTGTGAATAAAATATACTATAAATAAAAATCTAAGAAATTTCAATAAAATTACGATAAAAAATAAATAAAATTTTATTTATACTTATTTTATAAATTTCTTAATATAATATTATTTTATTATAAAAATAAACATATGCCAAACCTTCTTTTTAAAATAATAAATTAGAATTATAAGTTTTCTAATTTTAAATAAAAAATAATATATATCTATTAAATTTATAAATTAGAAACTTTAAAGTTATTCTTATTAATAATATTTTATTATTTTTCTATTATTTTTTATATATTTTTTACAAAAAATCAATTAACATTTTTTATTTGTTTATGTATACTAGTTATGATACATATAAATATATATATATATACATACATACACATACACATAGAAATGCAAAAAATATATTTAAAAGGGATTTATTAATGTACAAAAGGTTTGGAATTTATAAATTTTGTTTTTAAAGAGTTGTTTGTCTAAATATTTTTAAAAATAGGAATGTTGTTCTAAGCAACTCTTTCCGTAAAACATCTTCTATCTTAATTTCCTACTTTTGTTGCATTTATAGGCACAATAGAATGATTTATAAGTTGTAAAAAATAATACAATAAAATAAGTAAAGTTTCGAAGTAAAAAAATTCTATTCCGAATTAATTAACAAACAAATCAATTAATTTTTAAAAAATAGAATATAATAAGTCTTTTATCTAAGTTTTAAATTTATATTCAAAACAAATGACAAAAATTAATGAATAATAGAAAGATAAAATACAATGCTTTAACTCAAAAAATGTATTAAAATTGATGTATAAATTTAAAAACAAATATATAAAAAATTTAAGTATTATTTAAGTAGTACCTTACACTTTGTTATAGAAGTTATTAACTTATGTTATTTTATCCAAATAAAACCAATTCCAGTATAATTACATCGACATAAAGTAAATCAATTATTACTTTTTATTTATTATTTAAAAAAATGTCTAAATACAGAATTTATTTATTATAATATATATATAGATATATATATATATATATATATATACACATTAGTTTTATAAAAGTATGTATACATTTTTTAAACTCTTACTAATTATGAAAGCATATTTATTTATCTATTTATGCTTATTTGATTTTAAATCATTAGTAAACTTCTATTCCATAATGTCAAATTTGATTATTATATTTAATAAACTATTATTCCTCAAAAATGTATATTTTCTCTAATTAAAACATTATTATATTTCAATTTACAAAAAAAATAGTGTTTTTTTAAAGCAAACTTGGGCAGCAACAATTTTTAGCATATTAGATAAATCAATATATATTCTAATAGTAATATAAAAGTTTCTAACTTTCACCTTTTCCTACATGCCATTCTTAATCTTTCTTGAATAAGTAGGATTCAATTATAAAATTTAAATATCAAGCTACCATAACTTGCCTTAACATACTTATTTATTTGAACATATTTATTTTATTTTATTTTATTTTATTTTATCCTTCATTATATTAAAATTTAAAAATAATTTGTTTCAGCTAAAAAATAATTTAAAAAACATTAAACTATGTGTTGATTTTTTATTTTTTATTTTTTATTTTTTTTAATAATAAGTCTAAACATGTATAAACATTTGATTTAAATAGTTATAAGATGTATAAAAGGCTTAATTTTTATTTATTTATTGATGGTTATTTTAAGCATTTTTTGACAAAACTTTAATCTTTTCAAAAACCAACTCTTTGACATGGGTCCAACAGAAATTTTAGAGGACAACACTATTCATATTTGGTAGGAAAAGAGTGCATTTCATTTCATTTTTTCTTCTTAGGACATTTAGACTTAATTTTCTAAGTATAAAACTAATATAAAGAGACTTTTTGATTTCATCCAATCAAAACTGTTTAAAGTTGTGATCTCTCACCTTGTCCTCTGAATATAAAGTGCGTCTAATTAAACATTTTTAAAAATAATATATGAATATGTTTATTAGATTTAAAAATAATTCTATAACTTGCGAACTTACATAAGAATTGGCAAAATATGACCTGTAAGTCTAACCAATTAGAAATGAATCATACTAATGTTTTTGAAAAATTGTTACTTTCAATGTGTAAATTTTAAAAATAAGAACCAATAAGTCTGCATTTAATGTAGACATAGGTTGTTTTTCGCAAGTATGAGTTTTACAACCCAAATAAAGCTTTGCGCCATGAGAGTATCTCTACATATACCGATTTACTATCAAAAAGAATCATCCACATTAGAATGATGCATTGACATTCTTTCTAACAATCATCGATTCTTGAGGGGGATTATCAGGTGGGTACCATCTAATAGGTTAGATAAGTCAGACCAGCTTTCCGGAATTGGAACTCTACGACTACCAAGTACTTACTGACTACAAATAAGCCATTGCCTCTGGGTGCTTTTCGCTAAATCTGGTGAGTAGGTCTTTGGGAATGGTTTGAGCGCAGCAAAGCGTCTTGCTATGTTGTTTAAGGCATGCCAATACTTCTTTCTCATAGTCAACCAACGCTAGCACACCTGTCACCAACAATAGTAATATTAGTCTTCCATCACGGTTCTATGTAAGCATCAAATATTTCGTCAACGTCCAGCTTCCGGTTCATGCGCATTGGAATCCAAAGTCTTCTTTTCTAGTTCATGTTGACCTTGGGGAAGCACTGATTAGAAATAAAAATGATTGAAATGTGTACCAAGTTCAATTTCATGGCCATCCTCATCTTGGCCATTTTCAGCCTCCTCATTAGCTTCATCTTGCAGCTCACGCGCTGTCGCTGCATATCGTTCCAGATACTCCTCGACGTTTTCCTCGCGCTCGTCGTTAGAAACACCGCAGCTAGAACCCTGCTCGAATTATAATAAGCAAGTGATATAAAGCAGCTCCCATAATTGATCTAGGTTAGTTCTACAGTTGCCGCAACACATTGACTAGAGTCACAGGCCACGTACGATCCATTCGTAACTGAACAAGGATTATTTAGGCACGGACAGGAGGAACTGAAATACGAAGATGTTAAATCACATCAAAGAAAGACCTCGGTGGTGTCAAGGCGATTGGAAAATCTACGCTGTTGTATTTGGAAGCAATTTTTTTAACGCCGTATGTTCATCTATTTACTCACATTCAAGTGCAGAGAAATGAAGCCTGCATCCCTTTCCGAACAATTGACGTGTCGTGTACCTTGTGAAATAGCAAGTTCAAAACTGTCATACGGCGTTGTGAATTACAACTTACATCTATACTACCATCGCCACCACTTTCGCTGCCAGAACCGGATTCACTTGTATCAGATGTGTCACTTGAGGTATCTGGAGATTCTACAAGCTCCTTGAGATCAACCATGGATTCGAGCAAAGAACGCAGACAGTGATTGGCTGCTTGCTGTCCTTTCTGGTTCTTCAGCAGCTCCTTACTGATGAAGTGCTCTATCACCCTCAGCAAACCAATCACTGCGACCCCAACGATTCCACAAATTTTTCAAGAATAGGTTCTGATGTGTTCAATCCAACTTCTACAGGTGCATGTCAAGTGCTATTTGACGTGAAATGGAATTCAAAACAGCACCCGAGACAACTAGTAAACCTTGACCAGCATCGTATGAAGGGTATACATATGTTATTTGTGGACCAAACGCTCGCCCACTTTCCTAGCTCTTTAAATCAAATTCAGTCGTGGGGTGACAAATTCGTCTGAAGTGTGCTACCAGATCCAGATTCTTTATAGGAAGAAGGACAAATAGATTACGAGAAATCAACTAACCAGCCAGCTTCATCTCTGATTCCAAGGAAAGGCCTGGATCAGCTTCACTTTCGGCTAGGCTAGCCAGTGACTCGGCATACATGAGCAAGCCTTGACTTGCACCATTCTCGAGACTGGTATCATCCTCAGAGGACAAGATTTTTTCGACCTGCTCGGGTGAAACAATAAAGCACATGGTAATGACAAGGATAAGCGGTTTCGCCAAAGGTACAATTACGCTAGTCAGCTGCTTAAGTCGTCGAGTAGCAATCTCGCACAACCGAGGTATGAGTTGGTTTGAGATTGCCTCTCCCTCAAATGAAAGCTGTGTTGCATGTAACAGCGCATGTGCGCAACGACAAGCACGCCAGCAGGCCGCTGGATACGCAGACTCAATTGCAGATGTGATGAACGTCACTAAACACTCAAGAACAGATCGCTTAGGCTCTTGGTGTGCCGAAGTAGGAAGAGCTTCAGCCATAGTGAAGTGCAGCATCGGACACCTTCCCTGCAAATAAAAGCATTACATCTTTAATTTGAGGTTGGCAAAAGGATAAAGAAATATAGCCACTTCAAGCAATTGACATATTGGTAAAGACTAATAAAAGGCTATGATTCTGCATTGCACGTTGAAAAACTTGTTGGGCCCGGTTTGTTACTGTGCATGAGTTCCATGCGTGATTAGAAGAGGCCTTTGATTACGTCATGATGAGCATGAAACATGAGTTCAAACATACCTGCAAAGCCACTGCTTCTTCTATAGAGTCAAAAACCGACTCATCCTCCTCTTCCTCCCAGGCGTTCCAATCTGCTACCAAGTTTGCCCAGACATGTAGTAGTGCCTCTATTTTCATGGTTGCAGCTGACGTTGAGTCTCGAGTATATCGCAAGATTGCAGCGAGAAGCACAGAAGCATCACTTAAGCATGATGATGGAGGTGTAGATTGGGGAGAGCATCCATCCTGTACGACGAGAACATGAGGTAAAAAACCCGACAATAAAATCAGATTGAATTCGACTTGCAACACATTAAGGTCTTATTTTAGTACATCACCAGTGATCACCTCAGCCCTTTTACAACCTATACCAGAGCCATTTTCATCTCTTTGTTAAAATGTAGAGTTTAATAAGAAATCATGAGTCTACCTGCACAGGTGTCAACCACGCTCGCTGCAAAAGCTCAGCAAGTGTAAATGCAACTGTTTCACAACCCATCTTCCAGCTGGTGAGAGCTTTCCCTCCATCCTCATCCTCGTCAGGTTCAGCACCGTCCCAGGTCTGAGCGAGCGAGGCAACAGCCGTAAACCCGAGCTCAACCACCTGCATCATACGATAAGACCGTCTTATGAATAAGTGACTACTCTTACAAGTGTGACTACATGAAACTTGTTTCGACGAAGGAAATTTGAATTTAATTTAGATGCCAATGTAATTACGTTTGCTATATTGTTGGGCCTAAGCTCCTTACTTGGGGCCAGGGTTCAGGATAAGGGGGAATATGTTTAACGATTTCCACTTGAACTGCAGCAGTAATAGCCGGAACATGGGGTGCAACACAATCGTCTCCAGCATCTGCAGCTGTTGCTAAGAGCTGCAACGACAGCGAAGCCTCACTCTCTTCTGGCATACGCGCTCCTGTTACAGTGGCTTGGAGTAAAGGTAGCCATTGAGAGGGCTTATAACCGTCCTGAAAAATGCAAGAAGAATGTCCTCCAACATGTAAATATAGAATTTTCTATATTTAGTAACATTGTAATCCTTCGTAGATTGGTACAATTACCATTGATCTTGTCACAATACCGTGATTCCTTCCTGGTGAAGATCAATACGACATTCATAGAAAAATAAACTAGTGAAACCTGAAGGAGGGATGAAAGGGCTCCTGCAGCAGATGCTCGGACAGGTCTCCAAGACACACCGCCAGCATTGGGTGCTAGTAGGGCTTTCAGTAGAGCATTATACACCTCTTCACACAGCTCCTGGTACTCGACGATTGAATCTGATCAGATACTAACAATTTGGCAGATAAAGAAGAGGATGGTCTTGAATAGACTGAGCTACTTCTTCACGGTCTCTAACACTACCCTGAATTCACGCTAGCATGTTACTTAAATATAACCACAAGAAACACAACTGGAATCTCCTGCCTCATCATGACCATTTTGTCGCACTCTTAACCAAATCAAAGAAAACCACAAACGAAAGAAAGAAAGAAAGAAAGAAAGAAAGAAAGTAAGAAAGTAAGAAGTATTCTTGGAAATCTCCACAAAAATATACCACTTTCTTTACTATAAATTGCAGCTCTCAAGCAAGCTGTATAGTAATGAAACGAAGAAAGATACACGGCCACTAAATATTGCACACTGATACCTTATGTACATTTCATCACTCTAAAAGTTTGAGATCTACTGTTTAATGACTAATCAGAAACCTTCTTGAAACTCTCCTATAAGTGACAACCAATGTAAAGACATTGCCATCAACGGAGAGCATCTCACATCGGGCAAGAAATTAGCTAGCTCTCCAAGAAGCCAATTAGCGTTGGCTAAGACGTATGGCGTAGGTGCCACCATTGAATATAATGGAAGAACCCTTGTTTGTAACAGCAGAGCCACCTTCTCAGTTGGCTGCTTCTTCAGATACTGCAAGAATTCATGAAGGATAGTTTCATGAAGGATAACATTAGGTGCAGTTGAATGCCACCATTTTCCGAAGTGCTTAGAATCTGATACAGCTCTCTTCAGCATTCAATCTCAGAAACTTTGTACTTGAGGTTTTAATTATATTTATTAAGAATGCATCGAAACATTTGAGCCACGTCATTTCCTGGTATGAGATTTTTGTTGTGGTAGTGTGTGTGTATATTACCGCTGAAGTAACAGGACTATTTCCATTATGTTAGAAGGATTGACTCAACAATCTCACGATATCCCCCCCCCCCCCCCCCCATTTCTTTTCATAGATTTTTTTGTGCAGGTTACCTGCTGAAGGCTACCGTAAGCCATCATGACAGCATAATATCTGCACACGACAATGGAACATAATTTTCTTTGACTAGTATAAGTAGCAATACCAAACAGTTTCATCTTCCACATATGCATAACACAGCATGAGATACTCTGAACCATACCGTTGGATACATTACGATTGACATGTTGCTAAGTTAATAAAAGCGACGAGAACAGTGCCAAAGTTCTGAAGAGAGCAAATAGATAATCATGACAGAAGAAAATACTTCATGTAATTGGTATTGCGTAAAATAAACAAGGCAAAATCTGAGTCCATACTTCATGACATCTTCTGATCGGGGGTCGCTTCCGTCTGCTGGCATATGGAACTGCGAAAGAAATGGCATCACTAGAATCTCACCAGCAGTGCCTGACCAATCCTTGCCTTTGCCTTTGCCTCCCTTTTTCCGTTTCATTGCAGCGCCCTTCTTCGTCCCACCCGCAGTTGGAGGGCCCTGTTGGATCTCAAACCCCATTTTCAACAAGTGTATTTTCCACAGCTTCACTGTCTTGATCTTAGAAATTTTATCATGTCACAGTACCATAAATAATATTGAGGTGTTCCTGAGTCGATAATCATCGTCATTGAGAAGCAAAGCAATGTTATACTACTGTCCCAGAAAACGAACATAGCTGTGCATGCTTGACCAAGGAGTTTACCAGCAAATTGAATAGATGTTTTCAGGTCAGACCCTCCAGTGAAGCCACTGCTAATGGTAATACTATTTCAATGTAAGATTTGAACAAACTCCACTGGTCCGAACTCATTCCTCCAAATTATTTTTCAAAGAGGTGATAACTTCTTACAAGGAAAATAAAGACTGTAGAAAAATTACATCCCGTGTGGAAGAAAGGATTCCAGAAGCTGGGTTAATAAATGTAGTAAAATTGTAATTATACTTTAGCAGTAGCGATGAGGCTCAGCAGATTCAAGGCACTTTGTCGAGGGGTCAGCAGATCTTCTTTCCATCCACTTGCTTCATCCTGATTGAAGGTTTAGATAAAAGTTATTTTGTACGTCACACAGGCAGCAATTTGATGGACACACACAAAACTTTACACTACTTCCAAAACCAACAACCAGTCACAAAGAAATATCTGTGATTAGATCCCTAAAATAATTTCATAGAATTGAAAATAAACATTAATTGTGTTGTAATATTATTATTTCCAACATCAGGTGAATAGATTAAAAATACCATGTCCGAAGGGAGGTTTTTCCTCAGATATTCATCCTCGTCTTCCCCCCATTCGATCAAGTCCTGCATTATTACGAAACAGCTCACAAAAAGTTACAATATGAGTTGCACCTATGAATATTTTTCAAAATATTTCTGAGGATGCCAGAACAGCTGAATCCCATTCTATAATTTCACTGACCATGACTGCCTCCATTCAGGACAAAAAGTAATTTTAGTGACTAACATATTGTCGTGAAATTTGATCAGATGTAGAAAACACAGGCCTTGCATAAACGTCAGCGAAGAGAACATGAACCACAGACGATGCATTTACCTTTTCCGTCATTATGAGGGCCGGGAAAATGGCAGTTTCCAGCAAGTTTGAAAAGTGGGGGGCCATTAATCTCCAACCCTACAAGTCCACCCAAATTTTTTTAAAAAATCATTTGTGATCCGATGAGAAAAAGCTTTGGGTCACGAGCAATTTTGGTACACTTCGGTAAATGTGTTCTAATGGAAGAAAGAAGAAAAGAAAAGAAATAGAAGTGTAATACGTCTGTTGCAGTGGCTGTTTCAGTTTTTCATAAATGATATGCGTTTCAATGTCAATGCCACTGATTGGTGTCAACAAGTAAAAGAACTTACAGGACCAGTCTCAAGAATGTTGGCCACCAGATCAAATGCTAATGACACAATACGATGCTGCATCAGATGAAGATCCTGAAAATCTCACACCAAGAACCAAAACAACTGACACTTGCATTATAAATAAATATATATATATATATATATATATATATATATATATATATATATAAATTCTGCAATGTTAAATCTCCCATTATACATCAAACGTAATCATAACTGGAGGATTCCAAGTATTACCAATACTGTCTCACAAAATGGAAATTTCAGGGTTGAGATTATATAAATAAATATATTAGTGTTTGTTCAGAAGAAGCAGCATTCAACTTGACCATGGATACAACTCACCTTAGCACTTGCGCTTCTTCCAACAATTTTCAATGCTGCATTAGACATCGCAGGTAGAAGCCTACAAAAAGAAATTATCAGTTCTCATTTATTCAAGGAGAATGACACCAACTATGCTAACAAGTTGGTATCTTCAATACTTAACAGTCATTCTTGTGCGTAGAACGAGAAAGAAATGTCAAATAAATCTTAACTTACTTGTCCACGTGTTTTCTATGTCGGGAGATAAGGTTACAGCAGATCTGAAGAACGCGCTTCCAGGTCTTGAGCCTAGAAAGTTGTTCTGGTAGGTCCATTGTCCTCTCTAGAGCCACTACCTCGAGCAGAAGCATAAAATCATAAAACCACTGCCCCAGAGTTGCAAGTAAAGCCGATGGCATGTGCGATTTCAACTGCCAAGGTCCAGATAAATATTCAGTAATCCAGCACAAAGAGCACTAATAGACAGAAACACTGTTGTGCCGATACAGAACCTTATGTCAAGGATAGAAGCCATATAACTACAAGTGAATATTCGACTTAGATTATTGGTTAGGAAGAAGTAAGAACAGGCGCCGGTTGGAAGAACTTACAGCAAGATGCATGGCCTTGCACAAGACATGGAGAATGTTATCATGCTGTGCATAACCTTTCTCTTTTGATGCAACAACCTGCACAAATCCAGCCACTTACATCGAAATAGATAGAAAAGAATTGCATTTTCAATGGCAAAAGTCAACTTTCTCAACCTCCTCCAAATTTAATAATTTTTTTTTTTTTTTTTTAATCTAGAGAAATGGCTTGGTGGACCTGTTGCACCTTTGGTATTGAGCTTTGACAGTCTTACCTGCTGTACAAGATGGTGAAAGATCCCATGCAGAGGTGAAAGGAGCTCGTTCGCAATGAGCTCGAGTTGTTCAGGAACAGGCTCATGAGCTACAGTCGGGTTCAAAAAGTACTGCAAACCAGCCCACCTACCTCGTCAAATCCAATTCCAGCTACAGAAACGGCAGCCATCGAATCACGATCTTGGGTATTTATTTACGACGGTCGTCTTATACCTGGAAAGGTTTGGTGATGGTTTGGACTCCGATAAGGACATTCAGAGTTCTCAGTTCAGCATCCCCTGCTGTATTCAGCAAATTGCTACTCTGTATCGCTGCTTTAAAAGCAGGAACAAGTTCTGGCCATGTCATGTTCTTTGCAAAGTCATTGACCGCTACCACTCGGAACTGCAGCAACAAAGCATGGAAACTGTCCCGTTTGAGGTACTAGTAAAATAAAAAGCTTCCTCCGACAACAGAAATGAAGTCAGACTCCACTTGCTTTTACCAATACATATTTCCCGCTTCACTTGTGGAATCGCTAGGGAGGTTACAAATGACTGCTATGAGAGAATGTCAAGAAAGACGTGAGGTAACTGATCATCGAGATTAACCGAACATATGACACGAAATCAATTAACACAAGCTGACTTACAGCTTCTGACAAGAGCTTCAGGACAAGACCGTCGACGCGCAACAGAGTACCCATGAGCCGGTTCCGAAATTCCAGCTTCTCTGTGACGGACATTGAATTCTCTTCACTCCAGTGGGATATCAAAAAATTCTTCAAGTATGTCGCTGCAGCTATTCTCTGCCCTTTCTCGGGAGCCCCTGCCACAGAAGCGAACAGCCGATTTCATGACTGATGCTTTTCTCCATGTGTTCACACCAATGTACTGCCAGGACCAAGAGTTCAAGACTAGCTCAATGGTCATTCAGTTGTCTGTTGGAGTGCTGAACGTCGTTCAATCAGTTCTGAGCTCAATGTTGAAGACCTCGTTGTCGAGCTTTGTAAGTGATAGCCACCAATGCTCACAAGTGCCAGGGTAGACAGAATATCTACCTAGTGGCCTCATGCCATTCAACATCGCCAAACTTCACACATTTCTGCAGACAGTCACAGTCGCACGATTCAATGAAAAAGTCTTACCGGCAGAAAGCATGAGCAGGTATAAGGCGAATTTCGGCGAATTTTGCGCAGCTTGCAAGTGCGTGGTGGCGTTCCGCACGGAAGCCTCTTGGGTACTAGCAGTTTCGCTAAGCCAATGTGCGATTTGGACTTGGACCACCGAAGGTAACTCCACCATAGCCTCCATTGTGTCTCTCGATCTTTCTGTCGAATACCTTGTTGGACCAACACTCCTTTGCAAGTGATGCAAAGGGAAAAAAATGCAACTCTAATTCTTTTGTAATTCACCTCGCACAGCACACCTGTAGACTGACCTGAGTCTTATTAGCTGCACTTCAAATTTAAAATGACACTATGTGGACAATTCAAGGATCAAACGAGTTTCTGAAACAAGACTTTTTGAATCTTAGGAGAGGTTGGATGTGGCTTTGATAATGAAGGCACACTAAGATACGCTATTCTCAAGGCTATGCAATACACCATCAATATCTGGCTGACCTGCGTCGAGGAAACCCGCATGTATGATAAGCACCCGCAGTAAGAAAGCGAAGCGGGCAACACTAGATCTCTTCAAAGGTGTCAGTCCAGCAGGGGACATGTTCAACCTCTGTTGCTCCGCAGAGCTCGGCCTTTTCCCTTCTTTTACGGAGATTGCAAATATTCTCACGTTTGGCAAACGACGCAGCTAGAGAGATGAAACAGCTTGTTCCTTCAACTTGTTAGTTATGTTGCATAAATGCTCCCCGATTGGTATCGATCCGACTTCCACAGCTCGGCCTCATCACCAGAATGCAGCAACTCTGGGCTCATATTCCAGCAAGTAACAACAGCTTAGGCGTCTAAACTGCTAAGATCTCAGCTCAGGTATAAGTTGACCTCCGTCATGAACCTTCATATCTAATAGTGAACGGCACACCAGCAGCAAGGTAAGCACTCCACGGAGAGCACGAGAAAAAGGAAAGAATCTTGATGGTTGTGAGATAAATCCAGGCTAAGTTGCAAACCAGAAACCAAGCAATTCAGCACGATACACCTGCTATACGCGTCTACATGAACTCCTTGAAGATCTCACGAGTAAAATTTTCACGATGATTGCGCACTAAGATTGTGCATCAAATTATAGCATAATTTCCATTCTCTATTCACAAGATCTATCAAGAATTCATGCATGCTTGCTCCACGTTGATCTCGGTACCACTCTCGGCTAGAAACACATTGCATTGTTTCACTTCCAAAGAAATAAACGATCACCTCACAAGGATAACCTTTAAGCGTACCTTCAAAGCTCGCAAATTAGGTCGCAGAAATTCACGTGAAAGAGTTGCATGAGCAGCTGTGGTATGTGTGCGGAAAGTCAAACTCGCAGTATCAATAGACATCGATGCCGAACATTGCTATCAACCCACTGAACGACCTCGTCACCCCATCACGACAATGCTAATATTTTTGTGCAAGGAATCCATCTCCATTGTCTCTCTCGCATGACAAACGTTGTCAATAACCGAAACACGATCAATTCTTGTTCTAAAAATGATCGCAAAATTCTACTTGCAAACCTAAATTTCGTGTGTCATAGGGAGTCGAAGCTTCGATAATACAGCTTTGTATTGTTTTTAAAATTTAATGGAGTATATGTTCGTGCAGATTTTACATGGAAAGTGGAGCCATGAAGGAGGGATATTTATTCTTAATTGTTTTCAACTTGGTTGGAAATTGCAAGTTGTTATAAAATATAGTAAAATTTGATAATTTTTTTAATATTTTTTAAATCTTATTTTTTAAATGATAAATAAGAAAAAATATATAGAAAAAAATAATAAACTATAAAAAAAATATCTGAAAATTTTAAATTAAAAATCAATTACATTTTTTTATTGTTGCTAATAACATAAGTGGATTGCACTAGAAATATTTCTACCAATAATTTGACAAAAGATTAAGATTGAAAATATAATTATCTTTAATGAGATATTATTTTAAAAATTTAAACCAAAATTAATTGAGTGAATTTTTTTAATTACAAATGCACCTAATTTCTTTAAAGTTTTAAAAATAGCAATATTGGTTTAAGCCTTTTTGTGACTCTCATTCTAAAAATCATGTTCTTTTGTCTTATAACTTCTAAAGTTTAAAAAGATTAAAGTCTTTCATACCAAAAAAAAACTAAGAAAGTTAAAATAAAAATAAGTTTTAAATGTAATACAAATTATTTCTATTAGGTCCCTAAAGTAATAAGTAATAAGTAATAAAATAATAAAATAATAAAGTAAACCTATTCGTGTTATGTTTTCATATTTTTTTATTATTTTATAATTCAAAATTAATTACTAAAAATATCTTTTAATCTTCAATTCTTTATAATTTATTTATGTATATATATATATATATATATATATATAATCACACGCAATTTGAGTAAATTCAGTTTTGACACTTTCAATTCAGAAAGAAATATATAACTGTTTTATATTATTAACTAAATCTTGCAACAAAAATTATAATGTGTGTACATGTATCCAATTTTACTTAAAGCTTGCTAAACAATAATGTTGGTATCACAAACCAACTTACTTCACTGATCACATTGAAACATGCCTTTGTTAAGCCCCAGTCCATGTGTGGGAAAAAATTGTTACAGATTTTGCTTAGCCACGATGTAAAATGCAATACTTACATGCATGGACTTCAGTCTACAATGTTCACAACATCCTTCAAATCTATTGCAGGTTGGCTCTACCAAACTTGAGACTTCCATTTTGTACAACCTCCTTGATGAGGGCTTCATTAGTCGAGTAATTATCATACTACAAGAATCCACATGCCATCTAAAATGAAGAAATGGATCAGTTTTGAAAAATGAGTGAAAACCCAACCAAAGTAAGCCAAACTGTTATAGCTACCCAAAAGTACGGACTTTTTTCCCAACGAGGAGGCTTCCATACCAACCAATCTTCTAGATAGTCCTTAGATTGAGCTGATTTTTTCATAGGCTTTCTCCTTTTCTCTTTCACAAGCTGGCTCCATCTCTTAGCTTTCCTGTATGCATAGCAGGTATGGACTGATCAGCTGAGTTAATCCTGCTGTTATATTCATTATACAAAGGTTCCATTTCCTTCGTCTCTAATCAATCACAGGGAATACACAATTTTGCTATCACTAAGCTCATATGAGAAGCTCCCAGAAAATATGGGCGTATTACCGACTCAAGATATCATTAGACAAAAACTTAAGAACCCGGTGCAATTTACAAACATTAGGCAATTCTGCTCAGAAAGTGTACCTATCGAAGTCCTTTTCCATCAAAGGGATTTTGACCATTTCATCCTGTGAAATTTTCAGCTTGGGCGCCTCGGCAATGAATCGTAAATCAGCAGCCTGCTTTCGAAGGTTCTTGTTAGGATGAGAGCTCTCCAAACGCTTGTACACAGCAATACAATCCGCATGTCGACCCATTGCATCGTATGCCAAAGCCAGCCAAAGCTGCATCTGATTATTTGGGACCGAAAAAACAAAAAACAAACACGATCATATTTAGTCCACAAGAATGAATTTTAAACTATCTACAACATCACAAGAAAAAAACTCTTACATCAGCTCAACAATGTTACGCGATTCGGTGAATGGAGATCATCTTACTAGAGATGTTATAGATACAGAAGATACATCTGACCTACGAGGGTAGAGTCAACAAAATTACGCAAGATTTTGGGAAAAGAAGGTTCGTACGATAACGATGTCTACCTGGAAAATAACAGGTAAACTAGATCCATAACCCTAACAAAATTCTACACTAGATATTATCCTCTCAGCCGCACACCGCATTTAAAAGCTCCGGATCAAAGGTACTGATAATATAACAAACGGGTGTATAAAACAAGTTCAGACAGACCCGCTCAAAAATTCTATTGTCTTGAATTGTACGTGAAGATAATAAACTTTCTGACGAGTCCCTTAACTGGGTTACAATGGCCCTTTATCAGCATTTTTTTCGAACGCAATCTCACCTCGCCACCAAGATTAGTGCCACCTGGAACTTTTGTAAGAGCATCTTCCAACATTTCAACACTCTTATCATAAACACCACGGCCATAAGCTTGCTGGCTCAACTTGAATAATGTTTCAACTTCCTTCTTGATTCTGGCTTCTTCCAACGCTTGCTATTCCACAGATATAGAATCAGATAGTGTGCATGTCCAAAATCGATGGCTATCGTAGCCCCCTCCAGAAGCCCCTCAAAATGAATGGGCTGTAGTAGATAGTCATGATAAACGACTGGAATAATATTACTGTGATATAAATTCTTCAAGGCATGCCAAACCAATATTTCTCACCATGGCCGCAGTAAAACCTTACTGACATATGAAGGCGTGCAAGTGCATCATGACTAGTACAAATGAAAACATTCTCTACGACTAAAACCTACAATTCAGTATTTGCATTAGGCCACCTCGATGGGAGCACTCACTCGTACTAATTCCTCTCGCCGTCTTCTTGCTTGCTCCTCCGCAAGTCGTTCCTCATCAGACATTAAAGCTTCGTCTTCCTTGCCAATCTTTGAAGAGTCATCATCTGCCTGTGCCATAAGATTCTTTAAAATATCCCTGATCACTTATCTCAACTTCGAGAAGTAAAACAGTATATTAAATGCTATCGTATTTCCACCGAAACTCTAAGTGAAAATATAAAAAGCTCGGCAAACCAACCTTTATCCGTACACTATTTATTTCTTACCTTACTAACTAATTCATTTAGTCAATTACTGCAACCTCGACAAAATAAAAAATTAATTAATCAATTCAAGGCATTGACATCCAGACACGATCTCTACAATACAAACTACAATTCATAACAGAAGCAAGTGGAAGAGCCCCAAGTTAGTTCAGAGCAATGAAGATGAGGAGAAGACCTCTTTACTGTTCATCTAGATCATGTTGAATCAGAAAACGACAAGTTAGATACCTTATCATTCTCCTCATTCTCATTGTCAGGGTATTGGTTTCGTGACGAAGAAGATGATGATGATGGCCCATAGCCAGATTCATGATCAGCAAAGACGATACATGCTCTCAACTTCCTTGACAGCAGCACCACGAGCACTGAGAATGGTTAGGAAGGCACAGAACCGTTGTCGGTAGGAATCGACACAAGCTAAGCACACCTTGAAAAAAGATTCGAGTTCAAAATTAGCGCATGCGCGATTCACGAAAACCTGAGGCTAGGAAATGTAGGTTTCACATTCCATTAAATTCTCCAAGAAGAGATTTCCCACACAAGAGGATTGAAAATAATAAATACCAATTTCAAAATCAATTCGCTACAGATCAATTTCTTCACAAATGCTCGTAGCTACTTCATGAAAGTTGATCACAACGTTAGAAAAAATTCGACGCACAGCTCATCACAACTACCTCCTCAAAAATCTCGACAGCGACTCGAAGTGCCGGCTTCTTTTGAACATAAATACGGTCACTAAAACATGACTTCATTACTCCACGAAATTTTGTGTGAAAAAAAGAAAAAAAGAAAAAAAGAATCTAAATGTCGCCATAGCAAGTCATCCGATAATTGTGCAGCCTATGTCACCATTGAAAAAGATTGCTAGACCAGATTATCGAAAATTAATAATCACAAGTGGCTTGCCGACATTTCCATCCGAAACCTCACACGAATCCAACAAGAGAGCCATACACTTACTTGCTACAAGAGCGCAATCCAAGCTCCGTGGGCCGTGATGTGTCGGCCACAGTTCTATCGAACCGCACTCGACGCTTCTCCTCGGATCTGGACCCTGCAGTAGTGTTTCGCCCGAGACATGGTCGCGACTCCGAGGCGCAATTGAGCAGCAGTGGAGTAGGCAGCGAGAGTAGGCGCGGGGGTGCCATAGCTGAAGCAGCCCGAGCTGCAGCCAGCCACTGCTCCTGCTTTGCTCTTCCTCTCCTTTTGTGGCTGCTCCAACTTTTGTGAAGATGAACCCAAGCCCGCGCATTCCTTCCACAGGTTCAACTATCGTCTGCCTACGTGGCCACCTCCATGTCCATCTAGCTGTCAGCTTCGGATCCTCGTAGATATATATATATATATATATATATATGTGTATATATATATGTGTATATATATATATATGTATATATATTACAATTCGAATGATTGGTAACTTACCAATCCATGACTGGATGATTCTGCACTAACTAGATAACCACTCGGTGATAGTATAATATTGAAAACCATTTACGTATATTAGTTGGCCGCAGTGGATATATTGTAAACATAATATGCTACAGTTAGGCATGTAAATAAACAACTGATATTAAAATTCATAACTCTTTTTTTATTATAGAAAAGAAAATTTTACATGGTTTCAATTAAAAAAAGATTACTTAATTTTTTAAGTCATTTTTTGATTACAATAACTTGTATGTTTTTGACAAAGTGTTGAAGAGATTAATGATAAAAAAAATTCCAATAAATGAATACATGAAAATCGTTTTGCAGTTTCTAAGATTCTTTATAAATAATATTTTAATTATAAAAGATATATCATCTGAAACAGATGATGATTTTTTTAATACCAAAATCAACTACTATGATTTATTTTTATTTTTTATGAAACACATCTTTTACAACATTTTAATTAATAATTGTTAACTTTACAATACAAATGTTCACTGTGGTTACACTTTCCATCTAACAAAAAAAACAAATCAAAAAGATTTTTTTTGTCTATTTAAATATTTAATAATGATAATAATAAGGAAATAATTTAAGAATCACAGTAAATTTTTTAAAAAAAAGAATATTATTTCACTAAATACAGATATATTTGAAATAAAATTTAAACTCTAAGAATATTTTAGTTAAAAATCTTACTTTAAATGCTGTATTTTAATGAACATTAAAATTGTGAACATTGTTTCAATAAGTTACACCTATTAATATAATTGGGATTACATTGATTGATTCAAAATAAACATTTTTATGTTATTTTACTTTTAAAATTTTAATATTTTTTTAAATAAAAATAATAATTTGATTTTTAAAGTATAATTAATATTTTTTAGTAGGATGATAAAAATTACATTAAAGATGAAATTTATTTCATATATATTTAAATTTTATTTTAAAATTATAGATAAAAATTAATTAATTTAAAAGATTATAAAATAATTTAATGCTAATTTTACTTTTTTATAAATAAAAAATAAAAAATAACTTCTACTTTGTTTATAAGACAATTAGTAAGACAAAACAAGGTAGATTAGCAAAAATAATATTATAAGAATCTTTCAGTGAAAATAAAAAGTTGCTTTCACCAAAATTATCTTAAAAAACCTTACATCAATACTCATAGAGGACCAATTGGGAATTAAGGTTGAAATTAGATTGTAAGGCATAAAATTGCATACCTATAATATATAGAAGTTTTTTTTTTATGTTGATCAAAGAGAAGAATTGGAGAGTAAACTTTATAAGCTTTATTTAAACATTAGTTATGAGAGATTTGAAAGAATAACAAATTTGTTAGAGCTTTGCAAACTTAGGATTATTTTGAATGATTCTATTTTTTATGGAATAAAAAGCAATTATAGTTTTGTAGTCTGTATAAGATTTGAAGCAAATCTACAAATAAATATTTGCAAATCCATAAATCAATAATTATATCTTTATTTATTAAAATTTTGAATTTTCTTCAAAATTTAATTTAGATTTAATTAGATTTTTTTAGGATTTTTTCAAAGATTTGTTAAAATTTAATAAGATTTCTTTGTAGATTTTAAAATCTTGCTTAAAATTTAATTGGAATTTTAAAGAATTTTCTTACGATTTAATTAGAATTCAATTAAGATTAAGTTGAAATTTCTTCATGTAGCTAAAATAAAATTAGAATTTCTCAAATAATTCTTCATGATTTTTGTATAATCTTATTTATATATTTTTATGATTCTTTTAAGTATTTTTAAATATTACTTTTATGATTTTTTAAAGTATTTTTTTAATATTAATAAGGATTTAATTTGGATTTAAATAAAATTTTAAAGGATTTTATAAGGTTTATTTGGAATTAATTAAAGTATACTAATATTTTTTTAGGAGTATTTTAAGGTATTAAGGACATATATTGAATAAAAGTACAAAAAACAAGTAAGACTTTTTTCAAAAAAAGATGACAAAATAATAATAATAAAATATGTAAATTAATAAGAAACTAGAATAGCTATTGCCAAAGACAAGAAAATGAGAGATCTTTGAAACTAGACTAGAAGCAAGAAAGGAGTTGACATGAGTGAGGAAGGCTTCACTCTTGCCTCTATATATACTCTTAATTTTAACTCCTTTAATAATTTTAGTTTTTCTTCCTTTTTACCTATCACTTGTTGTCGCATCCCAATTCTTTTCTTCGATCTCTTCCATAAGAATCCATCTCGAAGTAAAAATCCATATGCTTTTTTTCTTATTTGTTTGAATTTTTCTGTAGACCAATTTCCCTACTTAGTCAAGGTATTCAAGTAATGACCAATATCCAATAATTCTCCTTCATAAGATTCTTCAAGAAATAGCTTGTCTTCCCTGTTGAGATTTGATATTGAATAGAATTTCAATCCGACGTCATCAATGTCTTCAACCATTTCGTCATCCCTCTCGTATCTTGTTCAAGATAGCATGTCTGCTACTAAATTGTCCTTCCCAATAACATGCTTAAATTTTGGATTTAGTGACTTAATATAAGCAATCCATCTCAACATTGCAATATCTGGCGTTGAATAGTTAATAATCATTCCAAGCAATGGCAAGCAATCTGTTTCAATTACTACTACTGCCCCAATCAAATAGTCCTTTTCAGCTTTCATAGCCGAAACAACTCCCCAAAGTTCTCTTTTGACTTGCAAATATGCACGCTGACGAATACTTAAAACTTTAGCTCCAAATCGAACTGCAAATCTATTCCCACTGGAATCATCTTGACCCACAGTCCATCCAATGGCAATTGGACTAGCGTCCACAGTAAGAATCACTAGTCTATTGCACTTATAATCAACCTTCCTCAATATTGGAGGTGACATCAATAATTTCTTCAATCTTTGCATTGCCTGAATATGCCTTTCTTCCCATTTAAATCGGTAACCCTTGCGTAACAGTTCATATAATGGATCCGCTATGTGAGCATAATGAGGGATCCAGATTCGATAAAATATACATGCACCTAAAAACCTGTGAACCTCTATTAAAGAATTACAATCCTCTTTCATCCTTCCAATTGCATCAACTTTAGTCGGATCTGGTTTTCTTCCGTAAGATCCACATAAATGTCCAACAATCACAACCTCTCGTACTCCAAATACGGACTTCATACCTGATAATGTAAGATAAACTTCTCCAAGCCGAGTTAAAATCTTTTCACAATCTTGTATATGATCAACAACATATTTGCAACACCCCCTCGTATCTAAAGTTTTATCCTTGTCTCCTTCTCTGCACCCTTTTATAGGAACATCATCCAGAAAAGGCATAGTCTTTTCCAAAATAAAATCTCTCAATACCTTATTCATTCCATTCATCATATGTGCAATTGAGTTGGTCGCGCCTTGAGGAAGAGTGCACATTCTAACCAATCCAAGTGGTGTCCTCATTGTTGTCATATCTCTACTTCCTTTGGCAAGTTGAAATTGATCATAACCTGAATACAAGTCACCCATTGAATAGATCGCTCTTCCAGCAAACGCCTTAACAAATTCATCTACAATAGGTCCAATTCCTGCATTCCTGACAGTTACTGCATTCACCGGTTGCATATCTTGAATAAAACGTAGTGACCCATTCTTCTTAGGTACCGTAAACCATCGACTATAATATAGCGCAAATGAGGGTTCCAATATTTTCATCTTTATCTTTTCTTTTAATAGTTCCACTAATTTAGGTAAATGTGCCCTCGGTACTGGAATCGGTCTTAGATTCCAAGGTACATGCGGTACAGTGAAGATAACCATAGGTGTTATAATATTCGGATCCACACACCCAATTTCATAAGATTCGAAGGCAAACGATCTACCTTGTTTAGCCAACATCTTTTTGAAGCAAGTAATTTCCTCCGGCAATAAAGAACCATCAGAACCAATCTTCAATTCTTCAAAAGTCTCTTTAGTAAATCAATGTCCAATACTCATTGGATCTCTTAAACTTGCTTCTTTTGATGCTTCTCCCATTTGTTCTTTAAAATCTTCTGGTAATGGTCCGGCAACAAGCTTTACCTTCTTATCTGCCGTTTTATATCTCGTCTCTATAATGACTTTTGGTGCTTGAAAAGATTCAAGTATGGTATAAACCTCTCTTGAATGAATGTCAACAATCTTATCATTATCTCCTAACCCAATAAATGTAATCAATTCCAAAGAATCTTCCAGTCCATTTTCTTCATAAACACCTAAAATCCTCTCATCATCTTGCAATGTACCTAACTTGCATAATTCTCCTTCAATATTATGTAATCTTTTTCTTTTCTTTCTTTTAAAATCATCAACTTTCTTATACATAATATTTCTATTCTCCAAAATACCAATAAAACTCGCATCAAAGGTATCTTCACCTCGCGAGAGTACCTCCTCTTTTGTACCTCCATAATCTTGCTTTATAGTGGTACCTCCTCAAAATCCTTAAATCCTTCAACAATCTTTGGCAATGGTTTCTCCCTCAACCTATCTCGATTTCGTTCATGGTTAGGAGGTACTGTTAGAAATTGTACAACTTTCCTTCCATCTTTGCTATGTACCCTTGCATAAGCAGAACCATCGTCAAGTACTTTTGTTTCCATCCGTGTTGCCGTAATATAAGGTTGTCTTAAAATCAATGGATAAGACGTTGTATCTTGAACAAAGAAATGTTGCTCCGTCGCAACATCCCCAATCCGAATTTTGACATCTGGACAAGCTCCATATAATTCGCCATGTGTATTATTAGCTTCTTGTATTACCCATCCATGTTCCATATCAATTGGCCATTTTTGCTTCTTATAAAGAACTTTAGACATGAGATTTATTTCAGAACCATAGTCGACTAAAGCAACAATTGGTTCTTCTATATCTCCTACTTTCACCAATATCTCAATAGTTGCCCTTGCCTAATGCTTTCAAGTATAATGGCTCAAGGTTTCATTTTCCTTATCACTATAATCTTC